CCCCCCCCGCCCTCTGGCACACTGCTGCTGGGGACCCAGATTTGTGCTTGATCAGGGCTCGGGGAGGGCGGGGCTGTCCCGGAGGCTGCGGGCCCTGGGGTCCTCGGCAAAGCCCCCGTGTTATCTGGAGAGCCAGGACGTGTGTGGCCCCAGCCCCCGCCTCCCTGCGGAGGCCCCGGGTTCTCAGACGTGAGTCTGCATCCGCCGCTGCAGGGGTCGGCTGGGGTCGGAGTTCTGGGAAGAGGACTGGGAGTGGTGGGAAGAGGAGGCCGAGGCCTTGCTGGCCTTGTCGAACTGCACGTAGCCGTCCTGCTTGCCGCTGCTGCTGACGCTGCTGTCACACTGCGTGTCCAGGAAGGAGCTGCTGTCGCTGAGGGAGCCCCTCTGGAACTCGCGCTCGCACAGCTCGATGGACGAGCTGCCCATGCCCAGCACGAACCTCTGGCTGTAGTCATAGAGGCGGGCCTGGCCGCTCAGGGTGCTGTAGATGTTGGTGAAGGACATGCCCGTGGGCACGCGCTGCTTGCCCGCGGGGCGCAGGTCCGGCTGACAGCTGGACAGCGAGATGGTGGGGGTGGAGTGGTGCTCCTTGAAGGTGTTGACGCTGTAGTAGCCGTTGGTGGGATCCTGGGGCGGGGGTCAAGAGCAAGAGCGGCGTCACGGGGGCAGGACTTGCGAGGCTGAGCCAGGCCTACCCCGCACGGGAGGGCGCGAGGACGCACAGGGGGAGGGGGCAGCCGGGGAGAAATGCGGGGAGGGGGCCTGGAAGGGTTGTCCTGGTGGGGACACCAAGAAGGGAGGGCTGCCGGGTGTTCAGGTGGCAGCCGGGAGGCGGAGGGAGGGTGCTGAAGGGAGGGAAGCAGGGGCCTCTGGGTGGGTCTGTTTAGTTGTCAGCACAATGCAAGGCCATTTGAGAACCAGAGTTTCTGTTTTTGTCCAGAACGTGGATACTTAGTTTGAAAATGGACCTGTGCGAAGGCTGCGGGAGAGGACTGTGGGACCTCAGCCTCCACGCTGTCGCCTCCTTCGTGTGGGGCTGAGCCAGCAGGTGCATTGGCGGAGGAGGCCCCACCCTAGGGAGAGGATAGGCACCTGTCCCCAGGGTGAACTCTGGCCTTTTTCTTCTGTTTGCTATCACTGTTTGTCTGGACACGGGGCTCGGGCCACCTGAGCTGGAGACCAGGTTCCACGCCCGTCCCACAGCTCGTGGCCCCTCCTACCTTCAGGTTCTGAAACTCCTTCTCCTCCTCTTTGAGGACCTCCAGCTGCTTGAGGACTGAGTCTTGCTGGAATTCACCCCGGTCCATCTGCAACCCCGAAACAGCTGCTCAATGGACAGGAGGTGGGCTAAAGGCCCACTCCCCCCAAGGGAAAGATGGAGAAGCCAACTCAAAAGAAGCTTGCCCTCTCTGCCCCCCGCCCCCACTGCCTGGCCCACAGGAGGCAGGTGAAAGAGTCAGGAGTGGGTGAGTGGGTGGGTGAGGGGCAGGTTTCTAAGACTGAGCTCACTTCCCTTGGCCTAGGGGGTCACCTACGGAGCTCTCCTTGGGCTGATTCAGTTCAGTTCATTGAGCGTTTACTGAATTTCAGGCCAAGCACTGTGCTAAGGGCCAGGCATACACAGGTTAACATGCAGCTGTTCCCATCAGGGCAATAGATCTGTAAATAAGTAATTACAGAACCTCGACCATTGACCATCTGGCACACGTTGGGGCCCCAGCAAAACAGGGTATCCTCAGGGCTAGGCTTGATAAAGGCATTCAGAAGGAGTCACAGTGAGACAGTGACCCTGGGCCACCCAGCAATGACTTAGATATCCTAAGTTTTCTTCCTTAGCAGATACCAAAGAGCTGAAGAGAAAGATTACTTCTTGTTTCTCTTTGGGTCCCTAGCACACCTGGTACAGCGCCTTGGGTATTGTGGCCAAAATCCTTTTGGGATGGAGTCATATTTAATTGTTTTTATTAATTCCTTGATTTGCTGGTGCCTAGTGCAGTGCCTGATCTACATACAATAGGGCTGCTACAAATGCTATGTTTGCACTGGATGAATGAATGAAATGCATAGCTCTAAATTTCTGAACATTAAAATAATAATTAAAATTAAGATGAAAAACAAAGCATACTCAGCACACAGTGAGTGTGTTAATTAATATGAACAACCACAGTGCTGCTTCCCCTGTGTCATTTCTGCACAAACAGCTGACATCTCTGGAGACTTACTCTGCCCCACAGGCTCTTTGGGGGTTTGCCATCTAGCCCTCAACATGGCCTGTGTACTCTTGCTTTCATCCCCACTTCCCAGATGAGGAGACTGAGGCACAGAACAGTCCACGCTCTTTCCCCCTCCAGCGTATCACTACTAGAGTTTTCAGCAGTGTTTCAGGTCTGTTTGCACAGCTGGGATGAGGGGCAGACTGGGGCTGCTGGAGAAGTTATGATTTGCTTACGGTAAGCAAGTCAGTTCCAAAAGAGGAACCTATGCCTCTTGCAGACTTTTTGGGGATATTGGGAAATGAGGTGTATACTGAATATCTGTAATATCTGTGGGTGTGTAGAATTATAAGCTATATAACAGCCTATGGTGGCTATTTATGCAAGTCTTCTCTCCCTACTGTATGGCCAAGCTCTCTGAAAGCTGGGATTGCACCTTAGATGTCTTGGAGTCCCTAGAACACCCAGTGCAATAGAGCAGACACACGGCCACGCTTTGTTGGTTGAGAGCAGGTGCCTGGCCTATTATAGGGGGAAGGGCGTGTCGTGACTGTGGCACTGCTTCCTGGGAGCATCTCGGCTCAGGAAGCCTGCAGCCCAGGACTCCAGGGCACAGAGGTTGGGGCGGGGTGGGGGTAAGACAGCATTCTCACCATCAGCTGCTTGATGGTGGGGTGTTCCTCGGCTTCCCGGCCAGATGTGGGCTCCTTGTGGACAATCTCTACACGGATATCGTTCTTGGCTGACACAACACCTTTGAGATCTGGACATAAGATAGGAACGTGTAGGCGACGGGTTCAGTCTGCATCCTCTGGCATTAGGGCCTGAGATGTCAAGCCCCCTGCCCCCATTACCCCCAGACTTTACCCTCCAGCCCCTAAACTCAGCAGCTTCTCCACCCCCCTCCTGCCAGTAGAACAGCTGTCTGGCTGCGCCAAGGGCTGTAGGGCCTCAGAGCTCTGCCTCCGGGGGCTCTTGGTTGCATGCACCCCAGCCTGTCACTGCCACTCCCGTGGCTTAAGAGGCTGTCCTCATCAATTTGTCCCTTACAGAACGAGGTCCTTTCATGCTACTAAAGTCCTACCTCCTTCTAGAAGCCTTCTCTGACCTACTGTAGCAGACTCTGAGCTCTCCCTTCAGAGAATCACACATCTGACTGTTAGAAGGGACCTTACTGGTCAACCTCTGGCCCAAAGCAGAGACATTCCCGCCACGTGGTGGTCCAGCTCCTGGGTCAGTGCTTTCATGATGGAGACTGTGCAACCTCTAGAGGAGGCTGCCAATTCATAGTTGGCGAATTGTTAGAAAATTCTGGCTAAAACCTGCTCCCATTTAGCTCCCACTGAAAGGGTGGTGAGGGAGGTCCTGAGACCACACCACTGGGGACGCCAAGGCCACTTAGCTTGGAGTGGAAGAGACGTAAGGGGAAGACCCAGCTTTCTCCCACAGTGAAGGCTGCCATGTGGTGGAGGGAGCAGGTTGACTCTGATTATTCCTGGTGAGCCTTATGCTTACAGCATTGGGGGGGG